GGTAGGGAGGGTGAGAGAGACAGATAGAGGGATGAATATTTTTCTCCATAAATTGAGTAAATGAGGCACAGTTTTTAATTTTTTACGACATTTAACGATCGTCCGATTCTAATAAAATTAAAATTAAAATAATCACAAATGGCTTTATATTAAATGAGATGAAAATATGTTGAAAACTGGAAAAATTATAATCGGTTTTCTAACAATTTTCCGATCGTTCCTATGGCAGCTATATGATATAGTCCTTCGATCCAACCCCTTTCGACCTATGTACTAGTGGGATTTTATATAAGACTAACTGAAAAGTTTCATTTAAACTTGAGAGACCGAGTTTCCTTAGAATCGGACGAATCAAGAATATATATGATTTATAGGGTGAGATATCAGCTTATTTAAGATTAACTATAGATCTCTAAATACAAGCTTATTATTTCTTTAATTTGTTTCCAAACCCTGAAACTCCAATCAAATGTCTGAAAATAAAATTTTCCTTAGAACCATTTTAGTTTAGTTCTATTCCATAACAAGTCACTCATATCTTTTTATCTAAATCTAATCCCTAATCTTTTTGTGTCAACTTGATATCTTATCTGTATCTGCTAATCCCCTCAAGTAACAAAAATAATAATAATAATAAACTTAAGAAGCAGAAAAGCTGCCAGAGAGTGAAGTGGGGGAAAAAACAAACCTGACATTTGAAAAGTGCCGCGCTGACAAATGCGCTAAAAATGCTGGCAATTAACTGACAACAGCAAATGAAATGCCACAAATCTCGGGCACCCCTCTATATAGCATATATATATAGTGTATATATTGTGCCCCGATCCCGGCTTCTTCTCCTCTTGCTCCTCACTTAATGTTAGTTGGTCATAATGACTATTTTTGGGACCGTGCGACGAGAAAAACGGCAAAATGCAATTGCAAATTTGTGTTTAGGAAAGCCGGCCAACGTTGCGTATGATTGATGCCTGGCTCAGCTGCTCAGCTGCTGCTGCTCCGCCTTTTGGAAAACTTGAAACGCACCAATAATTAACCACAACTCCATCAGCATCACCATCACCATTCAGTCGTCAGTCTTCAGTCTTCAGCCACCTGAAAAGTGGGTAAAGATGAGCTTAACTTGAAGTTGAGGAGAGCACATGGACGTTGGTTGTGCCAAAAAAAAAAAAAAAAAAAAAAAATGAAAAAGGAAAAGTTTCTGGCTGCTTTCGACATGTTTTTCTTCATTTTCCTGGCATGCGGAAAAACTAGTTTTTTTCCTTGTCGTTTTCATTTTCATCTTGGATGCCACAGCAGCTGGCATTTGATGGATTTTTGGTCGTGTTTGTGGCAAAGGGCAGGCAGGCAGCTGGCGAGGATCGGTAACACTTCCTGATGCTGCTCAGTCTGCTGTCGTGGTCGTCACCCACTTGCCACACTTGCCACACTTGCCACACTTCCATTTCCATTACCATTACCATTTCCATTCCATTTCACTTTTTTTTCTTAGCCCGATTATGAAGTTATTACGCGACTCGAGTGGAGAGTGGAGCAATGCCTTGGTAATGTGTCTGCCTGCAGAGTGGTGGGTGTACTCGGAAGTGCATTTGTTTTCCTTTTGGCTGCCGAAGAGGGGCGTGGCAGTGGCAAGTGTGAAAAATGGAGGATCGGATTGGGAGTGGAGCGAGGAGAGGAGTAGAGTGGAGTGGAGAGGAGGAAGTCAGAGCCAATGGCAAACCCAGGAAACCAGACACAAAGCCCAAAGGCCTTGCACAGTCCACAGTCCATGGTCCATTGGTGGCTACTGCCTTGATTTGGAGGCCAAAGAAAAGGGTTAGACAATGTTTATCGACTTGTATAAATTATCAAACTATATATAGGTAAAATATTGTTATACTCTAGTATTTTTAGTAGAGGTGCAACTTAAATATCAAACTTGAGAGCTTCATTATAGTTTGAAACCCAAAATCATACTCTTTTATACCCTTTTAGGATATTATCATCTTAGTCAGAAGCTTAAAACTTAGTGAAAAAATAAGTTCCGACCCTATAAATCATATATATTCTTGATCAGCATCAACAGGCGAATCTTTCTAGCCATCTTTTCAAAAATGTTAAATTTTTTGAAAAACAGGAAAGGGGTTACATCGTTAAAATATTTGAAAATGAGAAAAAATTTTAATTTTTTTTACTTTTAAAATGAGTATGCAGATTTTTTAACCTTTAAACAACTAGCACAGAACCGCTTTCCGAATTAAAATTAATGCCTTTTCGGCGGAGTTATGAGTTTTTTAAAATTTTGATTTGTCAAAAAATTGTCATATAAAAATACGATTTCATTTTTCAATTGCAAACTGTATAGGTATATAAACTTTAGTTCCCCAAACTTAGTTTCCTTTCTTGCTTAAATTAAATTTCAATAAAACAGTAAAGAAATCCCCTCTTTTCATGGAACTACTCTAGTTTCTATCTGTAGTTTCTATTTTACTTAATAAAACCCTTGTAATTCGATCCGCTTTGATATTTTAAATCGATCTATTGACCCTTAACGTAGGCACAACCTGTCCAAATATTATTTTTTTTGACTCTAATTGTGACTATTTACGGTGCCATACAGGTCGCGTCTGCGTCTAATTAGACCCACGCGCAGGCCCAAAAAGTGAGCCCAAAAGCGCGGATTTAATTAGTGGAAAGAGCGCGCGTTCAAGCCCACACGGAGCAGGCCAAGATTCGGAGACCAAGACTGAGTCTGAGACTGAAACTGAGTCTGAGTCTGGGTCTGAGTCTGTTTGAGGAGCTAAGACCGCAGCTGACGTTGAAGCATTGACCTGATTTGTGACGGCGAAGACAGACGAGGAGATCCGAGCCAAAAGACAGAGACTTGGACAGAGTCGAGACGAGAGACAAGTGACACAGTCGGAACAGAGGCTGTCAGAGTCACAGAGTCACAGCTGTTGGCTTGGATTGGCAACTAGGGCGAGATTGAGGCTCCAAGATCGCAACTCCCCGGCGGGTGAAGTGGGTGAAGCTACCTGCCAGCTAGAACTTGGACGGGGAATGTAGAGCAACCAAGTCTAATGAGCTAACCCCAATGCATTAGTTAGGCCAAAAATGAAGCAAAGCCTAACCCGCTTTCCAAACTGCTGATGATTAACCCCATTAAGAGTTCAAATCGAGCTTTAATTATAATCCTTTGGCGCCAGAACCTGTTCCGTCAATTGATTGATGGCCTGCTGATTGAGCACTCACAGGGGATTACCCAATACCAAGCTGTTGAGCAAGTCCCACACGGGCAACACTCCAACTCCAACTCCAACATCGACTTTGGCTTGAGATTCCACTCACTCGGAACGTAATGAAAGCAAATTAATAAGCCATCACCCGGCATTATGTGTGTGTGTATATACCATCTCCTCCTCCTCGGCTTACGTCTCAAGTGGAGGGAGGATTGATCATATGTAAGCAATTGCAATTGCAATTGCAATTGCAAATTCCTCCAACAACTCTACAACAATTTGCATAACAAAGACTCGCTGGAGAGAGAGGGAAAAAGGTGAAGGAGGAGGAGTAACCAGGTAACCCGGGCGGTCTCGGGAGGTCTCCTCTCCCACATGGTTTCGGTTGGAGTTGGTTCTGCGCCAGTTGCAACACGGATCACTGCCAGACTTATGACAGATTCAACGAATGTAATGCTGTTTGTTTCTCGGTTTGTTTGGATTACCTACTATCTGGGCCCACGCTGAGGAGGAAAAAACCCACGAAAATCAGAGTGGAAATGCATATATATCTTGTCTCGATTGTGGCACAGAGAATATGTTATGTACATATGCAGATTTTGGCTAGACAAATTTGGAGTAGGCTCTCTGACACGACACGAAGCGCCCCCGGAGGTGACCTCCATATCCTCCATTGAGCAGCCGGGGGAAAGTTTTTACTGACAATCGCGTGAGGGGATTAGAGTTTAAGCTTTAGATTTATATTAGTTTAAATCAAGAAATAAAAAAAGGAAAGCCTATAAGTTACTAAGCCTTAGGTTTATATTAGTTTTAATGAGATAAATAGAGAAGAACCTATATAGATGTATGATAGTTGAATCAAAGAAATAGAGCAGAATCTTGAATTTATGCTAGTTTAACTAAAGAAATATCTAAAAATACTTATAAACTCTGGAGGATCCTTGTTAAAATATATTCTTAAAAGGAAATTAAGTATTTAAAATGGTAGCTGTTAATATTTATTTACTCTTTAATGAAACTCCTTTTAAATTAATGCCTTTTAAAAGTTGTTCTCGCTGATTTCTTGATTTATTTCTTCTTGGCCACAAATTGAAGTTAAGACAGCTCATTTAAGAATGAGAATTACACAAGACTTTAGTCTAGACTTGGCCAAGTTAGAGATGGAAATAAATAGCAATATATGGAAACTACATAAATATTTGAAGAGAAATATTTAAACAATTAGATATATTAAACTTGAGATATAATGTATGAGCTATGTAGCTTCTTATTCCTATTAATATCAATATTTAATTAGTTAATGGTTTACTTTTCAACAAGTTATATTACTTTAAATATATACAACCATCACAATTACTATATAATATTAAGTGCAATAATTTTAACCCATATATTATACCTTATATGAAACATTTGCCCTCAATATATGCACATTCCCAGACCACATACTTGCGAGTATTCCATTGACCAGATTTGCGATTGCAACCAACCGATTGCATTGGTCTTCTTGGCTAGCCTGGTCTTGCCATGACTTGGTTTTTGGTGTTGGTGTTGGAGTCTTGGTTTTGGCTTTGGTTTCTTGGCCGCCTGACTTGGCGACCGCCTTGGCATGAGGCACAAGCCAAGTGTTGAGGTGCTGAATGGGAACATAAAACATGTGGCCCGTTGACGGGCATTTGTCTGGCCAGACACCTTGCCTGTCAGCGGGAATTAGTGATAGTTACCATCAAGATTTACCTCATAAACTAACCAGACTCTCTCTCTCTTCTTGACTTTTTGTTGCAGACCCTACAGGCCTGTCCCATCAGTGTGTGCATTAATGAGCCGGATACGCACAGTGCCAGCACAGAGATCCTGCAGACCACACCAGAGGGAACACTAGAGAAAGCGGTGGCCAGTCCCAATACAGCCACTACATCAAAGTCCTCGACAGCGGTAAGCTTGTAAAGTTCTTGATTCAGCCAATAGTTTTCACATTCATACTCTCTTGCAGCTAAATGGCAACTGCATAGCCATCAATGGAGGTGTAGGCTCCACAGGTGAGGCGGCAGCCACCACAAGCACTGCGTCCGGAGTGACTAAGATAACTATAACCAGTGAAAATAGCAACAGCAACAGCAACAGCAGCACTAGCAGCAGTAGCAACAATAATAATTGTGCCAGCCACATTCAAAGCGGCTACAAGAACAGCAGCCTGGTGTCCATCACCAGTTTAAACAGCTGCAGTGATCTTAGTCAGGGCAGCACAGCCACATTGCCTCTAAGTAGCTCCACATCGAGCAGCAGTAGCAGCCACTCAGTGGGACCAGTCAACACTCATCCATTGAGTCATCATACCCAACAGAAGACAGCCACTTGCAACAGCAACAGCAGCAGCAACGAAAACAATAACAATAGCAACACCCACAACAACAGTGGCAGCGATACATCTTCCAACAATAACTTTCAGGAGCGATTCGACTTTGAACACTGGAAGGGATTGCTTAGCGATTACAACTGCTTCCACGGACTCTATCGCTACTGGAATCAGTACAACGGACGGAGCAACACCACCAGCAGCAGCAGCAACACCAGCGAAGGCAACCTTCAAGGGGGCAGCAGCAATAGCCGGCAACATCAGTCACAGTCTGACCATGAGCGCAACGGTCTGGGCAACGGATCTGGATCCTTCTATACACACAATATATTAGGATATACATTCAATTATCCTTTTGGCCTCAAGGAGGACGGTCTTGACAACAACGGCAATTGTCACAGCAATAGCAGTAGCAGCCTTGGCTTCAGGAAGTCCATAGCGGACAACGGAAGCGGAAATAGCAGCGAGACACCGCTCCAGAAGCACTATCGTCAGCAGCAAAAGAAGAAGATGCCTGTGTTTAGAGGAAGAAGAGCCTGGTGCGGTTGCTTTAAGGTGAGTCCAAGGAGGAGGAGACTCTAGGAATACAAAGCTAAAGTCACATAAACTATTAATATAAGAATGTAACATAGAGTTCAAAGAACTAAAGGAGATAATTAGGGCTTAGAATAATGTAAAATTTGTACACATGCAAGGCAGATATCGAGACCTATATGTAATACCAACCAGGAGAGTTTAAGCCACTCGAATCGTAGTCGAATCCGGACAAAAGTCACGTGCGAAACTTGGACACTTGCGACGACTTGAAGCCAATCGAAATTGGAGCCGGCTCTTGACTCGGTCTCCCAGTCTCGAACGTCTCTCCTTGTGCATTCTGTGTCAGCGAATTTGTCAAATTGTGCACGATGTTGCACAAGAGGCGATAATTTCAATTGCCCTGGGAACGACTGTTTGCTTGTTCGGATACGAAAGCCAGCTCAGTTTAGAGCTCTGAAAATTGCCAAAAATCACACACACCGCAAAGTTTGCTGAGGAATTTGATTCTGCTTCGTGGCAGATAATTAATAGCCAGGTTAGGTTAATGTTTTTAGCAGAGATTTAATGCTTTGCTTAGTGCTTTAAATAACTAAATAAATTCTGAGCAAAGTTTATAGAGGTATTTCCCTGAGATAAGTGTAGGAATTTCAGTTTTAAGGCTTATCTTTGGGGGCTTTTAATTAAGAATTGAGGAAGAAATGTTTAATACAAATGAAGTATTTCTAGATTTTATTAGGAAAGTATAATGTATAAGTATAATAAGTGGTAGAATTTTATTATTATACCCTTACAGGGTATTCTAATTTTAATCAGAAGCTGAAAACTTAGTGAAGAAATAAATCATATATATTCTTGATCAGCATCAAAGGGCGAATCTTTCTAGCAATTTTTTCAAAAAAGAAAAGAGGTAACATCGGGAAAATGTTCAATAATTAACAAATATCAGAATTTTTTACATTTTAAATTGAGTATGCAGATTTGTTAAACTTATAAAAACTAACATAGAAGCACTTTCCAAATTAAAATTAATGCCTTTTTAACTTAGAGATTTTTAAACTTTGATTGTCATATAAAATTAATAATATGATAATTAATAATTTTTAAGCCATTAAAGGATATTATAATTTCAGTCAAAAGCTTAAAACTAAGTGAAGGAACCATTTTTGACCCTATAAATCATATATATTCTTGATCAGGATCAACAGGCGAATTTTTCTAGCTATCTCAGGAAGAAAAAATTTTTTTTCCAAAAATTTTCAATTTTTCCGTCGTTAAAATTTGTAAAAAAATTAATTTTTTTTACCTTTTAAACTGAGTACGCAGATTTGTTAACCTTTTAAAAACTAGCACAGAACAATTTTCCAAATTAAAATTAATGCATTTTTAACTTAGTTATGATATTTGCAAAACTGGGATTTACCCCAAAAATTAGCATATTTTTGTTGCATCATTTTCCTTCAGTGTAGAACTCCGTAAAAAGCTCTTTATCAGAGCAAAAGCATCTGAAACTTATAACTGTGAAACTCTGACGACCATCTTGTCAGGGAGTCACAGTTATATTGTCCACATGCTTTTGCTCCGTTAAAAAGCTTACTTTGGCAGAAACTTTTTCCCCAGAACATGGCTTGCATTGAACCAAGAAACAAGTAATAAGTAACAAGTACAAGAACTCAGTACCTAGAACTCAGAACCCAGAACCTTTAGAACTGAGTCAGCACCGAGTGGCATTGGCCAAGGGAACAAGCTCCAGCTGCTGCTGTTGACACAAACCCAGCGAGCAGAACCGCTTCCTAAGCTCGAGGTTGGGCCACATCATGGTCGTAGTTGCTGTTGCAATGGCACTGTTCCTTCTTAATTGGACACGCACTGTTAACGAACCGATCCGTTGAGGCAATGCCAAAACCACAAAGATTCTAATTGATTCTCTCTCTCTCTCCCTCCCCTGCAGGACGATGAGCCGCCCGAGATTTGTGTGGTGGAGGGAGCCTTCACTCTGCAAACCCTCACACCCACACAGCCCATGCCGTCGGTGGATGAGCTGGACAGCAAGTTCGCGGAGCTGGTGGAGGAGCTGGACTTGACGGCGCCCAACAAGGAGGCAATGCTGAGTCTGCCGGCGCAAAAGAAATGGCAGATTTATTGCTCACGGAAGCTGCCACTGGATGCGGCAGATGGACCTGATGCGGCGGCCATCACCCAGCCACCGACGGCAGAGCATTATATCGAGCGACTGAAGGAGCTAGTGGTGCATATATCCCTCTCGCCAGAGGATTCGCCCAGCCATGAGCTGGGGAACCGTCTCGATGGTCATGCTGCCTTTGTGGATGCCCTGAAGACAGCCCTGCGCACCTCCACGCACAGTTTTGTGTTGCGTTTTGTGGAGCTGGATGGGTTGCCAGCGCTGCTGGATTTGCTGCTCCAACTGGACATCCGTGTGGCCAATAGTCCGCTGCACACCAGCCTTATTGGTTGCATCAAGGCGCTGATGAATAACTCAATGGGACGTGCTCATGTCCTGGCCCATCCGACGGCCATCGATACGATTGCCCGTTCCCTGGCCGCGGACAATATAAGGACCAAGATTGCCGCTCTGGAGATACTGGGCGCTGTGTGTCTGGTTCCAGGTGGACATCGTAAGGTGCTGCAGGCCATGCTCCACTTCCAGGAATTCGCCACAGAGCGAACCCGCTTCCAGAGCATTGTCAATGACTTGGATCGGTCCACATATGCGTATCGGGATAATGTCAATCTCAAGACCGCCCTCATGTCGTTTGTGAATGCGGTGCTTAACTATGGCCCCGGGCAGGAGAATCTCGAGTTCCGTCTGCATCTGCGCTACGAGTTCCTTATGCTTGGCATCCAGCCGGTGATCGATAAACTGCGCACGCACGAGAACGAGACGCTGGACAGGCATTTGGTGAGTCCATCTAAGGATTAAGTTAGCTGGATTAGCATGTACTTACTCTGAAATTTCTTTTGTTTTTGTAGGACTTCTTTGAGATGGTGCGTGCCGAGGATGAGAAGGAGTTTGCCCGCCGCTTTAATGAGGAGCATGTGGACACCAAGAGCGCCAGCACCATGTTCGAGCTGCTGCGTCGCAAGCTCAGCCACTCGCCCGCCTATTCCCACATGTTGTCCCTGCTGCAGCACATGCTTCTGCTGCCCTGTGAGTACTCCTTGAGTGTCCTTGTCCTAGCCTGAGCTAATATTTACCCTTTTCATGCGCAGATACTGGTCACTGCACGGAGCACTGGCTGCTGATCGATCGTGTGGTCCAGCAGGTTGTGTTGCAGGTGGAGCAGCGTCCAAGCAGCGACCTGATATCCGATCCTGAGGATCCCGACAAGCAGCTGAAGCTAGCCGCAACCTCGCCCGTTCATGATCCCGATGTGGCGCCCCTGCAAATCGATGTGGGCAAGCTAGTGCGTCTGCTGGTCAAGGAGGAGCAACTGACGCAGGCACGCAAGCGTGCTGATGAGCTGGAACGTGAGAACTTTGATGTGCAGTCGCGGCTGGCGAAGAAGGAGCAGGAACTCGATCTGCGCATGCAGGAGAAGGAGGATCTGGAAACGGGACTGGCACGCATGCGCGAACGTTTGGAAAAGGAGTCTGCCCAGCATTCGCAGGCGGTGCAGCGCGCGCAGACCGCTGAAATGAAGGCGGAGGATCTGCAGCATCGCTTGCTCAGCGAGCAGCAGGAGCGGGCCCGCCTGGAGCGTCTGGTCACCGAGGGCAGCATACCCGATGACCAAAAGGTGGCCGGTCTGACTGGCTGCAATGGAGCTGTGTCGCCACCGCCGCCGCCACCCTCGGCTATGCTCAAGGCCATTCCGCCGCCACCGCCACCGATGGCGCCGGCCATGATGCCACCACCACCGCCGCCCTGTCCGGGTGCACCGCCTCCGCCACCGTGCATGGCGCCAGCAATGGGTGAGTTCAGCGTTAAGTCAAGTCAAGGCATATGTCTTATATTAATTCCTATTCCTTACCTGCAGCTCCTGTGCCACCCAAGGTGGAGCTGCCAAAGAAGAACGTGCCACAGCCCACGAATCCCTTGAAGAGCTTCAACTGGTCCAAGTTGCCGGATGCCAAGCTTCAGGGCACCGTCTGGAGTGAGCTTGACGAGAGCAAGCTGTATAATAACATGGAACTGGAGTCTATAGACAAGCTCTTTTCGGCTTATCAAAAGAATGGGGTATCGGTGAGTGCCTATTAGAGATTCCACTGAAAGATGTTCCCTTATCTAATGCTTTTCTCTCCTTCCACAGGCCACCGATGGCTCCTATGAGGATCTGCGAGCAACTGGCGGCAAGCCAGCCAAGCAGAAGGTGCTCTCAGTGATTGATGGACGCCGGGCTCAGAACTGCACCATCCTGCTCAGCAAGCTGAAGATGAGCGACATGGAGATATCAAAGTAGGAGTTGCTTTTAGTCACCTCTTGATTCCAAATACTAATCTCTCTTCTATTCTAGGGCCATTCTGTCGATGGACAGCAATGAGCAGCTGGCACTCGACATGGTCGAGCAGCTGCTAAAGTTCACGCCCTCGGCGGAGGAGCGTGCACTGCTGGATGAGCATAGCGAGGATATTGAGTCACTGGCCCGAGCCGATCGCTTCCTTTACGAAATATCAAAGTTGGTTTGAACACCATTGAAGAATTCTGGCAGTCACTAAACTATTTGTTCTTTTGTTCTGGCAGGATTCCCCACTATGAGCAAAGGCTGAAGAGCCTGCACTACAGGAAGCGCTTCATGCTGACGGTCAATGATCTTATACCCCGCATCACCAGTGTGATGGAGGCATCTCGCGAGGTGGCCCGTTCCCGACGTCTGCGCAAGCTCCTAGAGCTGGTCCTGGCTTTGGGTAATCTATCCAATCACTCTTCTACATATTTTCACTATTAAATTTTATCCCTGAATACTGCAGGCAACTACATGAACCGCGGGGCACGTGGCAACGCCTCCGGCTTCCGACTGGCTTCGCTCAATCGTCTGGCCGACACCAAGTCCAGTGCCGCCAAGGGCACCACCCTGCTGCACTATCTCGTCCAGGTGATTGAGCGTAAATTCAAGGATCTACTGAAGCTGGAGGATGATATTCCGCATGTCCGTGAGGCTTCCAAGGTGTCACTGGGCGAGATGGACAAGGATATCCAAATGCTGCGCACCGGCCTGGCGGATGTGGCACGCGAAATCGAATTCCATCGAAGCTCTGGCCCCGCCCAGCAGGGTGACCGCTTTTTGCCCGTTATGCGGGAGTTCCACGCCTCGGCCTCGGTTCGCTTTGCGGAGCTGGAGGACAAGTTCCAGGACATGAAGACCCGCTTCGATCGAGCCGTGCGTCTGTTCGGCGAGGACGGTTCGGTGCTGCAGCCGGATGAATTCTTTGGCATCTTCGATTCGTTCCTGGGAGCCTTCGCCGAGGCCCGCCATGACAACGAGAGCTTCCGGCGTCGTCAGGAGGAGGAGGAGAAGCGGGCCAAGCAGGAGGCGGAGCTCAAGAAGCGCACCATTGAGCGGAAGAACAAGACGGGACTGATGAGCAGCGTGGCCCGCAATTTGGGCCTAAAATCGGGCTCGCCCAACTCTGGACCGGATTCGCCAGCGAAGGGCGCCTCTGGAGGCGACAACAAAGGCGAATTTGATGACCTGATCTCGGCCCTACGCACTGGCGATGTCTTCGGCGAGGATATGGCCAAGTTTAAGCGATCCCGCAAGGCACGAGTACTCAATGGCAGCGGTGGAGGCGGAGGTGCCGCAGCCACGGGTCACACATCGCCGCCACGCCATGGCAGCCTGCAGCGCGAGGAGAGCGGTCGGGAGCGTGAGCGTACGGTGCGGCGCCAGTAGGGTAAAGGATAAGGGTGAGAGACAGGGGAGATTGGGATTAACCTCCCCGATGTGTAACATAACGTTGAATGTTTCGGAAAGTATTTTTTTATATTTTTTTTTCTCGTGTATTAGCACACACACACTTTTTGTAATTATTTATATATATTCTAATATGCATTACACCTACGACTATACATATATATTACACCTAAAATTATATAGAGCACATCCGATAAGTATATAATCTAAATGTAAAGCTCGGCTAATGCAAGCGTCAAACCAAATTTTTTACCATAACTCGAAAATCGACAAATCGCAGTGTAATTCTAACTTAAAGTCTAAAGAGAAGTGTTGTGGAGAAGATATGTATATCTATATATGTATATGTACGCCTATATAGTGCTTTATGTATCGCACCGATTTCATCTGTATCCGTGTATCGTATATAGACTCAGCAAGCACCTGGGAAATCACCGGAGAACTTGGAGAAGAGAGGAGCTCGCGGGCCTGCCATAAAGTCATGTTCATAATTAAGGTCTTATTGTTTGTTTCTTCCTTATTTTATATTTTTTATTTTTTTTTTAGCACGAGATCCAGTCGATCGATCACACACACACAAACATAAATCAAATATAAAAAAACAAACATTTTATAAAGCGCATCATAGGAGAGAAAGCTTCTTGTATTGAAAATTACACCCTACCTATTAACAAATAAATAAACGATTATTGTGAATGAAAAAAAACACTGGCTTACTTTGTCTTGTTGTTGTTGTAAAAGAGTTGCTTTTTGTTGTTGTTGTTGTTGTCGAAAAAATCCAGCATTCAGTTTGGTCCGTTTCAGTACAAAATTGCCAATTTCTGGATCTGGAGTACCAGGCGAACAGAAACCGCAGCAAGCTGAATGATTTTAGTGCAAGAGCTTTCGATAAACTGCAAAAATGCAACCATGTGCAGCTTTTACTATCGGTTTACTGCAGCCCTGTAAAGCTTTGACTAGAAAGCTGCTAGTGTGCAGCCCTGTAAAGCTTTGACAATCAGCCGTTGACATGGCGCCATTTGACTCAAATTCAAATTTGGCGCCGAGCTTGTATGGCGGCAACTGATCGACAGTTTAAATTCAAATTCAAATTTTGCGGTTAACGTATATGGCGGGTCCTGATAGTCCGTTTGAATTCAAATTCAAATTCGGCGGTTAAATTAATATATATTTAATTTCTTTTGTTGTTGGAAATTTTAAATTGTTGTTGTTGTAAACGAGTTGTTTATTGTTTTTGTTGTTGTTGTCGGCGAAATCCGGCATTCGTTTGGTTAATTTCAGTACAAAATCGTCAATTTCTGGATCCTGAGTACCAGGCGAACAGAAACCGCAGCAAGCTGAATAATTTTAGTGCACGAGGTGCAAATTAGAGTTGTCCCTTTAGCTATATTGTAGGAAAGCTTTAAATCTAGCTATAAAATAGATAGCTTGTCAACCTTATATTACGGGAACTTTTGTGCTGTGTGACCGGCTCACACTAGTGCAAGAGCTTTCGATTAACCGCAGAAATGCAACCATGTGCAGCTTTTACTATCGGTTTGCTGCAGCCCTGTAAAGCTTTGACTAAAGAGCTGCTGGTGTGCAGCCCTGTAAAGCTTTGATTATCAACTGCATGTAGCCGCCATGTGCAGCAGCGGCGATCAGCTGATGACATGCAGCCATGTGGCACTGTGACGAGGAGCATGTACAACTTATATCCCAAAATTCCATTAATAATCAATCGAATAATACAAATCGGTGGACATAACACCTAAGCTCCCCTTTAATTCCCAATGGAGCAGCACAAACACACACATCACCGGATGAGGAACGCAACCAACACACACACACCACCGCTCGCAGGCGGACGTGGAGGAGCATCTATTTGTGCTGTCGCGGCGTTTGACCTTGGGCGCCAAATGAAATCGAAATGATGCGAGGATGAGGATGAGGAGGAGGAGGAGTGCTTTAGCTCGCTCTTGGCATTATTTCTGTGTCATTTTCATTTGTTGACTTTTGCAAAATGCCGCATAAATCAAAACGGGCGCTGTCAAGGTCCCGCTGGGGCTGGCACACGGGGCAAGGGGCGACGGATGAGGCGTTCCGATGCTACTTCCGCGCCATCGACGACGCCTCTGACGCACTACGTTGAGTGCTTCTAGTGCTGGTGCTGCTGCTGATTCTACGCCACCTGATGCCCCTCTCCAGCGGAACGACGACGAAGGAGACGCCGCCGCTGTGCGTGCGCCTTGGCCAGCTGCCAGTTGACAGCAACAACGCCCCCTGCCTCCGGCCACCGCCCCCACTCCACGCTCCCGTCCCGCTTAATTGGCCCGCTTTCGTTGCGTGCGTGTCTGCCCATCCGCTGGCAAGGACAGGTTGGAGTGGCCAGTGTTGGGTTGCCTAGAAGAAAACAAAGAAATTTTTTATTAATAAGTTTAAATAAGTGTTGTTATTATACCATATTTTATTCATATTAATATGTATTTTTTTATAATAAAAATAAAATAAATAATGTTATTGAGTTTTCAAACTATATTTACCTGGACTGGGGGCATGGGGAAAATTATTAGTAGCTCAAGCCTGTTAATTAAGGGATATTTGCAGGCCAGACTTTCTAAAGTTAGTCCAGGCATCAACCGTACTCAGCAGGAAACTGCAAAAAAGAAATGTTGATTGTTGAAATTAATAAATAATAGCAGAAATAAGGCAAATTATTAATTTTTAAATTAGAATTTAGAATATTATATACATGTTTAAATAGAATATGTACAGGAAATAACATTATTTTGTGATTTTATAGAAAGTTGCCCTTTAATTTGATTGTTTTTTTAATTTTTCAATGATTAAAAATTAGAAAGTGAAAACTTTAAAATTTTAACCACATGTTTTTATAATTTCCTTCGAGTTTTAAACATTTAGTGCCTGAAAGTAGACTTATTTGTCAAGTACTCTTAAATTTGCACTTGCCTTATCTAATTATTACTTAAATAATTACCTCTAGTAATTTATATACATTTTTAATTTAAAATATTAGCATAATTAGGTAGCCAAGTTGTGAACCAAACTGGCTGTGACCATCCCCTAATTCCTTCTATTTAACGAAGACAAATGACTATCGGTGGATGATGATGCCTGTGCCTGACCTCTATGCCGCTTACAAATTACGAATATGCTTTGCATATAGAATCGCGCGATCCGAGCGTTGCTATAAATATACAAAATAAAATTTAAAAAAAAAAACACTTACATTTGACGATCGTCAATTTCCACTTGCCACTTGCTCAGCTGCAGCAGCTGAGTAATGCCCCGAAATGCGGCGGTATATATTTTCTTTTGTGGGGAAAATAAAACTCGCCTATATGAGATGGAAAATATAATGAAATGAAAAATGCGCGGCACATGCCGCCGGCTGTCCGCTGTGTTCCCCCCCCAACGCAGAACCGCCTCCATATTGCGGAGAAAAGCCAGCGAAATCGACGAAATGTGCTCGGTGAGTGTCAAAAACGCGTCAAGATCAAAGCGAGCACGAAATTTCATCGCCCATTTTGCCAAAATGCAACAATAAATTGGCCAAAAGGCTAGGCAACACCAGCAACAACATGGCCCGAAGGCGAGTATTAGTTTTTTGGGACAATAGTAGTCGGATAATTAGCTTAAAATTACATTTATTTATATAAATTTTGAAATATTCCCAAGGATTAATAGAGGGAAATTTCCAGTTTGATCCTTGGCTGGTTGATGTCCGAACTGCAAGGATTTGCATGGCTAATTTCCCCCTTGGGTTTGTGTGCCAGCTAATCCCTGCGAGGCGGGGAATCACCTGAATTTCTCACGATTTTTAATTATTAATTCATAAATTTCGCTACTAAAATATCTGCCACAGCTGTGCACGGACTTTACCTTCTCCTTTTGGCGCGTACAAATTGCATGAAATGTTGTTTGTTCAACAATTTGCGGCCCACTGCTGCCATATGTCCGGATGAGTCAGGACGGGACAGCCGGGGCCGTCCGATGGATCGATTTGGATGTGGTTGTGGTTGCGGAATGGGAATGGAAATGGGAATGGGATTCGACTTGCAGATGCCATTACTGCTGCGGCATAATGAGACAAGTTCAATGCATTTAAATGAGTCCGATTACCGCCATCATGCATGCAGGTCCTTGGGGGTGCAGTGGCATGGCATGGATTAAGTAGTAGTAACAACAGCCCCGAGACGCTTTCCATACGCTTTTCCGACACAAGCCAGTGCCCTGGATTGTTAAGATGACAGTTAATTAACTCTCAGTCACAATTGATGGGAAATGCATTTGAATTTCTTAATGTCCTGGTTATTATATCTAACCGAAGGTCGTTTCGTTTAAACAAAGCGATTTAAGGAGCACAAAAATGTACAAGTTTAATGTAAGATGCATAACACGAAAGGACTAAAACTTTAGAAAGTTGATATACCCTAGCAGTTTGAAATTGAATTATAGGTTCGTTTCGGAAATCGATCATAACTAAGCTTAATATATTCTTATTCTTTGAAACAATATTTATTAATATTTTTATATGACAATTTATTTGACCAAACAAATTTTAAAAAACTCATAACTATGTAAGTCAAAAATGAATTAATACTAATTCAGAAAGCTGTCCTATGTTAGTTTTTAGAAGGTCAATAAATCTGCATACTTTTCCTAAATTAAAAATAAAATTTTAATTTTTGCAAATTTTCACAATGTAACTCCTTTCTTTTTCATGAAAAAATATGGAAAATTTTCGGAAAAAAATTTGTTCTGCCAAAGATAGCTAAAAAGATTCCCCTGTTATTGCTGATCAAGAATATATATGATTTATAGGGTCGGAAATGATTCCTTCAATTAGTTTTAAGCTTCTGACTAAAATTATAATACCCTTCCAAGGCAATAAAAATATGCAGTAAAATTGTATTTTAAAGATGCTAAAACATTGATTTTTTACTACTTCTATATAGAAACAAAAGTTCCAGAATTGCCAAATTCCCATACACGTTTCTCTATAGTTTTTTAGCAGGATTAAAGTGAATGTTCTTTAAAAAATAATACAAAAAAACGCAACTGTTGATTGGTAACTCAATCAATTAAAATCCCTGTTATGGCTTTGCAATTATCTCCTCCGAAACTCCACCCAGTTTCTCCCTGCGACTTCCCACAATAAAATATTGTTTAGACGAAAACAGAAAACCGAAAACGCAAAACCGAAACAAGAGACAATAAGAATAATAATAATAATATAATTATCAAAACATTTTAAGCGCCTGCCAAGGTTGTTCGCCGGCAAACAGGTCTCTCCTACAAGTGTCGCTCTGGCAGACTGGCGGATGCCCTACTACGCGGGGGGACACCAAAACAACAAAGCAACCACTATAAACAATAAACAATAGCGGCGACACAAATTAAACAATAACAAAAACGAGGGGAGGGGAAAAAAAGCTAGGGTAGCGCCATACACAAAATAAGCAAAAATGACAGGCAACAAATTGTAGAGCGACGCTGTTTTTAACATTCTGTTTCTGTTTCGGCAACGAAATGTGCACTGAAAACAATTGATATTGATAGAGATATAGAAATAGATACTTTAATTATATTAATATTTATCTGAATATTGATATTAATGCAAATTTCTCTTAGCACTGTTACCTCTCCAACTTGCCACAACAAATCATGTGTGTTGATCTACTCTTATGAAGATTATAGGCTCATTCTCTGACTCTTTCCAGAATATTTAAATAATCCTTGATAAAAATATCATTTATATTATATTACATGCTTCGTAAGATTAAAAAATGTTGATAAATTAAGTTATATCTTATTCCCCAAGATCACAACAGCAAATCATGTGTGTAGAAGATTATTGGCTTACACATTCGCTCTGACTCGTCAGAATATTTATCTAAAGTAATATTAATGAGTAATAAATTCTATCCATTATTTAGAAATTAATAAATCTACTTTTGTTTATATTCACTTGTGTGTTAATATATTATTATTCTACCAAAAGATTATTTGCTTTGGCATCTCATTGATTTTTTATTTTTTGCCGTGTGGCTTCTTTCGCTCCGCTATTTTGCCCGCTTTGTTGTTCTCGAATTGTTGCTTTTTGCGTTAGTTTTGATTAATTAATTTCCTGACTAATTCATCCACAATGCGCGACTCGCTGGAGCCAGCATAAAAATAAAAACAAAAATTCAAATCAAAAGAGGAGCTGGGGAGGAGAGATGGAAAGCGGGTAATTGCGAATAATTGGAAATGATTGCGTTTTGCTTTTTTTTTTTTTTTGGCTGTGAAAATTTTTACATTAGAGACGGGAAAATGGAAAAATTCAGCGAAAAACAAGATCTCTGAGTAGAATTTACCACATATTTCCATGAATTTTACTCGCATTTTTTCATTAACACGCTGCTTATATTAAATAATGTGTCAGTTGTCATAAATAAATATTAGATATATTTTCTTGTAAGCGAATTTTCCAGCTCATTTGTTGGTTACAACTGTATAAACATTTGCTATTTGTATTGTGACTAGAACTAGTCATTAAATGAAGACACAGGTTGTGGGATTTTATGAATATTAAATGGTAATAATAATAAAAATAATAATAAACTAATAATTATAATGATCCAAAGAGGCAATCGAATATTGCTAATAATATTTAAGAATAATTGAATCAACTCTTTTAAAAATGTATTATAATTAACTAGATATTTTTAAGAATTAAAAAGTAACAAGACTTGTTTCCCCAACTTAAAGTTTATTATTTGAATGAGTTAGTTTATAAAGACTTAATTTATGTATTTATACAAAATTATATTGAATAATATTAAACTGAATTTGTAGTTTATTTTTATAACTGAATATATGTAGATTCACCTTTCAACCCGCTGTCATTGGTGAAATTAGGAGCAAATTTTCAGCGACGACCTTCAAGGCCGATATGACAAATAGCCCGAGATATATAATTAGTCAACTGTTCGGTTTGAGGTTCGTCGGGGATTCGAATATAGATTCGTGCTCGGTCTTCTTTAGGGGCGACTCATCGCTGGACTGCAGACTGATTGGCTGGGGACTCAAGACTCCAGACTCAAAAGACTCGAGAGACTCGAGAGACTCGAGAGACTCAGTACTCGGGGAAACTGAGACTCAATCGTCTAAAAATAGGCAACTTGGCCTGGGCTTGCAGCCACGGAATAGTCGCAAATGTAAATTTAATTCGAATGGGCGACCGCTTCTATAAATATTTGCCCAACTAACCCAACTATAGCTGGAGAGCCCAGAGCCGATCCCCATCGATATCCGAACCGATCGGAGGTGCTAGCTGAGTATCATGAATATTATCGACGACGTTGTCGTTGAGTCATGCGCAAATAACTTGGCTTATTAGAAATTCAAAGCCTCGCAGGGGCCCCCTTCATGCCGGGGGGTTCCTGCGGAGTAACATAAAACCCAGTGTCCAGCCAGCATTGCCATTCAAATGCAAATGAGCTTAATCAAAAGCAGAGCTGCCCGACGCAGCGTCTGAGCGGCTTTTTGGCCAGGCCCAAAAGTCTGTCAGTTGGCCAAATAGTCAGTTAGTCAGTCGGCTAGCGATGCGAGCAGCGCCATTTTTAAGTCACGATCGTT